ATCCGCCATGTCCCCCCTGGGTGTAGGACAGAGGGAGAGGCTAGAGGAGCCCCATTAGCCCTCTTAGAGGGGAGGACTCCATAGTCATAGCTGGGGGAGCCTGCCATAGCCTGAGAGAGAGCAAGGGAGGAGGAGAGAAGGGCTTGGAGAAGAAGGAAGCCATAACCAAGAGGGGATTGTGCAAGAAGAGGAAGCTTCATCAAGAGGACACCAACATCAAGGAATCAACAAGGTGAGAGGAAGGAAGAGGCTTCTTCACCTTCTTCTTCTTCTTTTTCTTCTTCCTCTCTCAACACACCAGGGGAGGAACCCATGCTAGTGGGAGAGCTTAGAGGAGACTAGGATGTAGTGGGAGGAATCTAGAGGATAGTGATGGTGGGAGAGACACTTCGGAGGTGATCCGCCATATCCCCCTGGGTGTAGGAGAGAGGGAGAGGCTAGAGGAGCCCCATTAGCCCTCCTAGAGGGGAGGACTCCATAGCCACAGCTGGGGAACTTGCCATAGCCTGAGAGAGAGCAAGGGAGGAGGAGAGAAGGGCTTGGAGAAGTAGGAAGCCATAGCCAAGAGGGATTGTGCAAGAAGAGGAAGCTTCATCAAGAGGACACCAACATCAAGGAATCAACAAGGTGAGAGAAAGGAAGAGGCTTCTTCACCCTCTTCTTCTTCTTTTTCTTCTTCCTCCTCTTCTCCTTCTTCCTCTCTTCCTCCTTCTTCCTCTTCTTCCTCCTCACTCGTTCTCTCTTCCTTCTCTCCTCCCCCCTCTTCATCTCCTTCTTCCTTCTCTTCACTTCCATTCTCCTTGCCTCCCCCCTCTTCTTCACCATCTCCATCTCCCTCATCTCTCTCCCCTCTCCTCCATCTTCTCTTACTTTATGTTCTCTCCTCCATAGGCTACTCAAACTCTCCTCTTTCACTTATACACTAGGAGGTAGTACTCCGATTCATTCATAGATGCTTCATGATGCAATCTTGGTAATTTGGGCTCTCCAAACTTGTGATTTTCACACTCACACTAGTAGGTAGTGTAGCGCTTCACACATGGATGCTNATTTGGGCTCTCCAAACTTGTGATTTTCACACTCACACTAGTAGGTAGTGTAGCGCTTCACACATGGATGCTCCTTGATGCAATCTTGGTGATTTGGGCTCTCCAAACTTGTGATTTTCACACACACTAGTAGGTAGTGTAGCGCTTCAGACATGGATGCTCCTTGATGCAATCTTGGTGATTTGGGCTCTCCAAACTTGTGATTTTCACACTCACACTAGTAGGTAGTGTAGTGCTTCACACATGGATGCTCCTTGATCCAATCTTGGTGATTTGGGCTCTTCAAACGTGTGTTTTTCACACTCACACTAGTAGGTAGTGTAGCGCTTTACACATGGATGCTTCTTGATGCAATCTTAGTGATTTGGGCTCTCCAAACTTGTGATTTTCACACTCACACTAGTAGGTAGTGTAGCGCTTAACACATGGATGCTCCTTGATGCAAATTTGGTGATTTGGGAGCTTCAAACTTGTGTTTTTCACACTCACACTAGTAGGTGGTATAGTGCTACACCCATGATTGATCGATGATACAATCATGGTGACATGGGCTCTCCAAACCTGTAATTTTCACTCATACACTAGGAAGTAGTGCACCGCTACTCCCATGGATGACCTTTGATTCAACCTTGGTGATCTTGCCTATGTAGACTCTTGTTTTCACCCACATGATAGCATGTGATATTCCGGGTGATCTTCCCTTCATATGGATGTGTTTTTCATTAGTCTAGCATCTCTTTGTCTTGTTCATACTTGGTGTGATATTCCGGATGATCACTACTCTTTGTGCATGTGTTTTCCACTAGTCTAGCCTCTCATTGTCACGTTCAAGTTGGATTTAATTTCCGGATCTTTGGTTAGTTGAAATCTTATCCTTTGTGCATGTGTTTCCACTAGTCTAGCCTCTCATTGTCAAGTTCAAGTTTGATGTAATATTTCGGATTTTTGCCTTGTTGAAATCTTATCTTTTGTGCATGTTCTTCCACTAATCTAGTCTCTCATTGTCAAGTTCATGTTGGATGTAATGTTCCGGATCTTTACCTTGTTGATTGCTACTCTTTCGGCATGTGTTTTCCACTAGTCCAGTCTCTCATTGTCAAGCTCATGTTCCGGATCTTCACTTAGTTGATCTCTTCTCTTTTGTGCATGTACTTCCACTAATCTAGTCTCTAATTGTCAACTTCATGTTGAATGTAATGTTCCGGATCTTTACCTTGTTGATTACTACTCTTTGTGCATGTGCTTTCCACTACTCTAGTCTCTCATTGTGAAGTATAGTTCCGAATCTTTGCTTAGTTGATCTCTTCTCATTTGTGCATGTGTTTTCCACTAGTCTAGTCTCTCATTGTCAAGTTCATGTTCCGGATCTTTGCTTAGTT